ATCTATAATTTAAAAACATTATAAATTTTAAATTACGATTAACAACTACAACATTCGTAATAGTGACATTATAACTGCAATTTAATACTATACCATAAAAAACTAGGGACTCGCGCATTTTAGTATATGTTTACCTAATTTATCTCCCCTTCACAAACCTTTATTGCATGCATACAGCTTTATTTAACATTGCATAGAACAGTTCAATATTTTACACGCACGTTATCACTGAATGAGACTACGGATACTTCAAGGCTGATGTGGAGCAAATGGCGGCAACGGCGGCCATTTTCCGAACTTGGGGTGGTGGAAGTACTTCGGAGGAAGCTTGGGGATCGGCGGGCACGGCTTCTTAGGGAATGGATGGATCTTCGGAATCGGAGGAAGCGGCTTATAAGGAATAGTAGGGTGAGGTTTCGGCTTATAAATCGGAATCGGCGGCGGAAGCGGCTTCTTATAAACCGGAACTGGATGAGGCTTATACTGGAGGCTTGTAAATCGGAACCGGCGGCGGAAGCGGCTTCTTATAAACCGGAACTGGATGAGGCTTATAAACCGGAGGCTTGTAGACCGGAAACGGCGGTGGTAGCGGCTTCTTGTAAATCGGAGGGTGAGGGTAATGATGGTGGAAGAAGCTTTTCAATGGTGAAAGCAGTGGAAGCTTTGGCAGTGGAGGGATCTTATGGTGGTGGTGTGACCAAAAGGAGGCCGAGGCACAAGTTATTGGCGAGAATTTGAGCTTCCCTTTTAGCCCGAATTGGCTTTTGCCGTCGTCGCCGGTGGGTTTGAAAATGATCTTGGAGGATTCGAGGCCGTCGAGGGAAGGGCAAGGTTGAGCCGATGCACTTTGGAGCTGCGCGTAGCATTGCTCCTTTAATTTGCCATCTTGAACCATGTCTCCGGCAAGGGATACTTTGAATTTGCCTTCATCATCGAGCTCGCCGGAGCCTCGGGTTTCGAAGTCTTTGCCGTTTTCCGGCTTGCAGTCTATGGTTACACGAAGGCCTTCAAAGAGAAACAACAATAACATACAACATCATGGATATTACAACGAAGACATCCATATGATTAGTTTGTATCAAGTTTTTTGTCTATTCTTATACAATACTGAACTTGAGGATTTAGTCTATATATTTTAATTTAACACAATCGAATCCTTTACTATTATACCAAGTTATACCTTAGTTTAAATCAGTAACACCCGATGTGAATATTTTTCCAAAAAAAAAAATCAACTCATGAGGTGAGTCAAATATTAAAAAGTAATTGTAAAAAGAATTAGGATAAATATATCAGAATTTTTATATTTTAATTTTGTGAGTCGTGACATTAAAAAATATAGTAGCCACATAAAGATAAAATATATCACTTGAACATGTATTACAAGTAGGGATGGGTATTTGGCCCAAACCTGATGGATTACGATTCTATCTGAACTGATCGAGTCGATTTTTTTGTTTAAAAATTTGAGTTCAAGTCAAGTTGGATTCGAGTTTAAAGTGAAAAAACAGACTTAATCCGATTCGAGATAATATTATAATTATATGTTATAAATTTAAAGATAATTGTAAGAATACCTCTATATATTATTATTTTTCAATCGGGTCCTTATTTTACCGAATGAATATGTTCCGATTCGAGTCGAATTGGATGTAAATTTTTAGTATAAAATCGGATCGAGCTTTAGGTAGAATGGAACCCTCTTAAACCTCAATCGGATGCATGCGAAAGGACTTAATTTTTAGATATGTACCGACAACCCTAATTGCAATGAATGAGGATACACTAGTGAAACAAGTACATATGAGATTTGATAAATTTGACTAGCTACACAAACAATACCTGAGAATGCTCGGCCGACCTCGAAATTATTCTCAGCACAATCTGCACATTCCCCATTCCCGATCACTTCAACTGCTACAGCATCGCAAAAACTCATCACAAACAGCAACCACGACACCAGCAAGCACACGAGTGCGCCTCCTCGATACACGAGGCTCCCCATCGTTGATAACAATGATTTGAATTATATCAGATATTGGATACCAAAACTCTTGTTATATAATAATCTTATAAGGCAACATTTTATGTTAGGGCGAAATTTTAAAAATTTTAAGAGGCAACGAAAATATATTTTTAATAGAAAATACATAGAAAAAAATATATAATATATAATAATTTTAAATATTCAAGGAGGACAACTGCCCTAACCTGTCCCCGATCCATCGCTGGCCACAACCAATGACTTCATTTGTGCAAGATGTTGGTGTTTAGCTTTTTCATTCAATGTGCTCTCTCAACTACACAACAAACAGCTGAGTAATGCTTTGGATTTTCTCTTACTATATATTTTATGTTCGTTTTATAGTTTATATTAAGTTGTCTGTCTTTCTTAATAATATCATTTCTTAAATTTAAATTTGGATTATCTTTTTAAAAGTATGATTCGATAATAAGAAGGACAAATGATGCATTTTGGACAAGTTATTGAAGTTTCTTTTGGAGGTTGAAACATAAGTTGATTTACGACGGACTTTTCAAATAGAATTTAAACGACTTTTCAAATAGAATTTAAACATTTACAGATTAAGACGTGATAACTAAAGATTTTTAAATGATCGAAGTTTCCAATATTTTTTAATCATAATGCAATATATTAAGATGAATATTTAAGAGAAATATACCTATCGATATTAAATATTCATCTTCATTCGGATAATCTAAATTGTGTGGTGTATATCAATTTCAATTGAACCAACCATAATGCAAACCAATTAATTACTCAAAAATATTTGCTTCCTAATTTGTCAATGGTTATTACTCTAGGGTGGTGCGTGCAATTCATCCATGTCTTCAAATTTGAGAATGGTATTTAAGTTTAAATATTACATAAAATTAAATTTTGTTTTTTTTAAGTTTTGGAATTTAAATATTTTGTATTTTCAAAATAAACAATATGATCTTTTTCAATATTTATTGTAAATCCGTTTCTAATAAATTGTGAGACTGTCGTGTGACCTCTTAACAAATGAATCTAGCCCTTATATAAAAATATCCATAACGTCAATTTCTAAATAAGAAATAATTGTGTTTAAATATATTCAAACTATAGTCTAATATCTTATAAGAAAAACTATAACCTAATATGTTACAACAACAATGTCAATGGAATCAATACTTTATCGATAAATAAATTGTAAATGACAAATAAAATTAATTGACTTTATTAATTAACTCACCTTAAAATTTGTCTAAAATGATTATAAATAAAATGACATTTTGAACATAATTGAATGACAATGCTAGATTTAGTTAGAGGTCACATACCAAAATGTAGGGTCAAACACCACATTGAAGACGTCATTAAACACCTTAATATTTGGTGAGAAGCTAGCCAATGTGTAGGTAATGTTATGCTTTAGAATTTAATAGGTTCATAAATCAAGTTAGGTTTGGTTTGATAATAAAATTTTAATTGTTTAAAATTAATTTTTATATAAATATTTATGAGTTTTGGATTATTAATAATGATTATAATTTAATAGAATAGTATTAAATTCTAAATTTTAAAATTTAAACCCTAAATCTAGTTATTAAATTATTTGTAAGATGTGACCGTTAATAGGGAATTAAAATATAGGTAGGACTAATATACCGCCGCAAGTTTAGGTGATAAAAGAATTAAAATTCATAGCATTATATGTTGGATATTTAAGGGGATAGTTTTATTATTATTATTATTATTATTATTATTATTATTATTATTATGGGTAAATACAAAATTATATATCTTTCAAAATAACTCTTTACCATTTCACATTGAATGCTCATATCGTTAGTATTCTTGGTGCTCAAATCCGAGTCATCAAAAAACAACAACAATTCATTTACTACTAAGATCACTTGGTTTGTGCTAAGTGGATAATTATGTGTTGTGAATGGACCTATCTTTGGTGTTGTATTTAAGAGTCAATTACATCATATATTTTAAAACTATATTGTTTATTTTAAATCAATTCTTAAATTTGTGAATGTTTTGATTTTATCTCTAAATTATAATTTTGATTTTAGATTAATCTTCAAGCTTTTAAATATTTTAATTTCATCCTAAACTACAACTCTCATTCTAAATTATTCTCTAAATTATAATTCTAATTATAAATTAATCCCCAAACTTTCATACATACTAACTTCATCCCTAAACTATCATTATATGAATTATATGTTAATTACATCTTGTATTAATAAAACTGGTATAAAAATTGCTAATTATAATGCAAATACTGATTCGAGATAAGTTCAAAATTTCATCTAATTGAAACATATGTTTCTATACTCATTATAATTGATGTATTCTGCTCATAAAGGGTAACTAGAACACCATTTAGTTCTTAATAAGAGTGAGAATTTAGGCAGTTACGCACATAATTACATTTAAAAATTTTAATTATTGAATCTCATTTACTTCATGTAATTACACTTTCTCAAGTAAATATTTATGTTTGTACACCACGGTCTACAAAATGGACTAATAATTATATACGAGTGTAATGACAAAAAATTCTAATTCTTTATATATGTTTGATTGAAAAAAAAATTAATTACATCCTAATTCTATATTTCAGGTTCTGTAATCCAAATTATAAATTGCACAGTTAAATTCATAAATTTAGATTTATAAATAAGGGTAAACAATATCATACACTATTGAATTTTATATCACTAAACTTCCAATTTTACCAATTATTTCCGCCTCCCCAAAATGACTATAAACAAGTTCACGGACAAAGTTCAATGAACTTGTGTAAGTTTACTCTAATATTTAAAAGTTACTGTGAGCAAGATTATTAACACACCACACGGATCAGAAGTTCATTCCCTAATTTCGTAATATAGGGGAAACCGATAAACCAAAAATCTGAAACCCGATGAACAAAGAAGCCAAGAAAAAAATTAGCCAAATTTGTACTTCGGCCTCATATCAGAGTTAGATTAACGTCTAAAAGCCTCAATTTAAGCATCCTCAAGAAAATAGATATGTAACTAAAGACTCACATGCTAGAACAACAAAGTTATGCGTCTATTTTCCTGGCCTAATTGTCGAAAACAACCTGCGCCGCCCTCACTTACAATTTTGAAATACCTTAGCAAGTGTTACAATAGCCCGACATCGCAAGCATTCTGTCATCTACTTCTTCTTTGATTTAGATGCCGACTGAGTATAAGCAGTTCCCTGAAATTTATGTCAGCCAGAACAGGAAATTATCAGCAATGGTCTTATAGAAATCAGTAATGGTTGGTGAAGTCCGAGATGAACACATGATGCTTCTCGGGAATGAAAAGAGAAGAAAAGTAAAGCCAACTAAAATGGAAATAATGAGATGTGATGATGATGATGTATAAGCTAAGTCATAACCTGAAGCCATTCGTCCATTGAGGCCTCGGTAGCCCTAGTCCCGACTTCCACCTTTGGAGCCCTCTTAGTTTTCTAGCAAAACAAAGAAGTCAAAACACGTTAGCTTTATTCCAAAAACTAAACATAAGATAACATGTACACGAGCACTTCTCCTTCTGGCTTTCTCTCCTTACAGGTGTGCATGACACAATAAAGTAACATGGCTAATTGAAGCTTTCATTAATGCAAGAACAAAACATCACAAATATTTAACATTCCCGGCAGAGGAGCTAGTATTAATGATGTATCATGATACTGTATTGTTGAACGTAGTTGCTGCAATAAATTAATATACAATTGAAGGTGGCACAACTAAAATACCTTGCTGATACGCTGAAATTGACCATGAAGCCACAAACCAAGGAGAACAAGAAGTGCAATACCAAGGGTAACAAGAAACACGGACTCAACGCTGAGGAAACCACCAGCCTCAGCAACTTCAATGGTACCGTTATAGAATATACTTTGGAATGGCTGCTGGTCGATCTCATAGATAATCGTACCCACAAGATCAAAAGTTCCAGCCTGCATCAAAAGTTTAGATGTGTAAGCTTCACTGCAAGACTACTTCTCGTTGAAAGAATTAATATACAGTTTTAGGGCATAGAACTCCAAGAGTACTCATTTACCTGTAAGTATTTTGCTAACAGCAAATATGTAAGGGAAAGTAGCTTGAACTGAAGGGGGTACAGTAGCATTGTTGAAGGCCTACATGAAAACAGATATATTCAATTACAGAAACTAGAAACGTCACAATGCAGCTTTTGTGCAACAACATATGGTGTAACACTCCAAAATATTAGGGTGCATGATCAGCTTTGTACCAGCATATAACCTTGAGATCTTTTTCAAATACTGCAGAAACCGTTTGATAATGAAGTACAAAAAAAAAAAAAAAAAAACTTAGAACACAGTATACCAAAAGCACTGGCACATCATAATAATTGCACAATGAATATGAATGCCTAAACTATATATACATGCTCAATCTCATTTCTGAGAATCATTGTAAGGTCTACACTTACAACTTAAAGACAATAGCAAAATCTACACTTGCACCACTGCTAATGTTTCTTAAATTGAGATATAACTTCTCAATGCAAGGTCAACATCCATCCATCATACTAAAAAAAATAACGGCTAAAATAACTGACTCAACTATAATTGTTATTGTTGATTAGAGTAGGTACTAGGTATGCAGTTACAAGTGAAACACAGACTAAAGGTTCACAATGCATAAAACTCATATCATTGACCATATGTTACACGATGGATATTTAAACATGCAATAAGATACCATATAAATGTGAGAACATGCATGATCAATGACTTAACTCCATAGACATCATATGTTAAACAAGCAAACTTGAAAATGATCAAGAAGATAAACCCAATGAGTGCTTAATTGTATTTATAAAACAATCTGACTGAATAATTAATTTTATTTATTAAACTAATGGTCAAGTGGCCAAATTATGCGAAGTTTTTCAGTAAGGAAATAATAGAAATTAATCAAAATGTAAACTAAAATAACTGATGAATCACAAGTATTTGAAAATGCTAACCAGAACAATATTAATGGACTATAATTACCTGAACTGTAAGATTTTGAACAAGCATACGATGATCAAAAGGGAAATGAACACTGGCTCTGATAGCAATGACGTTCACATGTGACTCACCTGCAATTTAAGCAAGTAAGCTGACCACAAGAGGAAGGAAAGCTGAAATGGCTAACAGAAAGACTTAGCATTTAAGAACGGTAAGCTAAGGAAAGATAAATTGTGTGTTACTATTTCAACACTGTTATATTAAATTCATCGTAAAACACATCAGTAAGGTAGTGAAAACAAATTAATTACCAACATTTTCCATCCCCGCGAGGAGCTCAGTCTCTTCTCCAGCCAGAACCACTTCCAAGATCATTAAAAAAAAGTACAGATCAGTCTCAAAAAATCATACATTATCAAAATCCCAGATGCAGCATCAAAAGGTTCTTACATTTGGCGCTGTTTTTGGGGAAAACACAAACAGTTTCAATTCCTGGAGCTGGACCAAAATTGAAATCACCAAAAACCTGAACGTCCTCACCAACAATCCCAAGATCACCTCCTTCAACAGCTTCTCTAACATCTGCCTCTGCTTCTGATTGACACCGAACAACTATCAAAGAAAAGAAAATTAATGTCAAGGCTAAGTTCAAAACAATTTCGATATTTATTTATTTAATTAATAATAAACAACAAATTGAAAAAGTAAACAAAAATTAATCCAACAAACAATTCCTAAATAAGGAAAATAACTGCCTCAAGAAAGTTATTGAAAAGCACACCAAACTCCCGAAGTACTTGCCAAATACACTTTCCTTGCCTTTTCTTAGAGAAAACCTAAACTGTGCTTCTAAAAGACACTATAATTACAGTAAGAACAATTATCAAGAAGATGCCTAAGTTTCTTTCGGGGAAAAAACAAAAAAGGGAAAGGAATTCAACTTTTCACAGCCACGCAAAGCAACCGTGAACTTGAAAACAAAGAAATCGCCTCAGATCCTCACTATAAAAAATCAAGAGAAACAAGGCAATCTCAAATGGATGCAAAGTAAAAAAAAAAGGTAATTTACATCAAATACCACTCATCTTTACTCGGGCTCGAAAATGCCATCGACGTTTTAATTTTGCCAATTTTAACACAGACGTTTATGTTTCACTCAATTTTACCACTCCGCCGTTAATCTGTTAACGGGACGATGTCATTGCATCTTTTTTCCGTGACGGCGATGACATAGCACCCTCATCAAAACGACGTCGTTTTGGCACGACCGTTTTGATGCTCAAAAAGCTCAAAACGACGTCGTTCTGTTGATGAAAAATGTTTTTCATTAGACTCGAACTATAGACCTTTAAAATCCAAATCTAAATACCCAACCACCAAGCTAAATTAAGAACTTGATATAATCTTAACAAAACTATTATAAATTTGGTTCTTCATGTGAAAAAATTTATGATTACTAGTTGTTTAGTCGATTTTTGGGATTGAAGTCTGGTTTTTTAATCGACAGATACCTGAAGACCTTCATTTTGTGCTGAGAATGTGGCATACCTTTGAATCTCTTGGATACCAATCTGGTTTCTGTCTGTCTCAGTTGTTTTCATTGAACAGAAATGGTTCGTCTCTATCGACTATTCCTTCGAAGCAGTCCACCGTTCCAATGCTGCCACCTCCTCCGCTCTTCAATTGGAGCCAGCAGCCACTTCCGACAGCAACTAATATGACGCTTGCTTCGCCTAATTTTCAGAACCCGGTTAGACTTGGATTTCAGCAACCCAAAGACGAAACCCACATGTTCCTACTGCCACGTTCGTCCGAAACCCGAATGGAAGACATGATGGTTGAGCATGAAAACGACATCAAATGGCCTAATGGCTTGATTTTCTTCAGTGCTCTCACCGGACGAACCGAAGACGCCAAGCTTTTATTCAACTCTGAGAGCTTAGGGAACAAACCAGAAACAAACCATCACCCGCTTATACTCGAAGGAAAAGACTCGAATCAAAATTCAGATATCTTGGATAGTCATCCGGAGAATACGAGGTAGATGGATAAGTTAAAGAACTTTCCGATACCCACAAGGATGGCAACGTCTTCATCGTCGACTTCAGTCGAGCATCATCAGCACCAACCCGGGGAGTAAAGGAACTCCGAGCCCGGGATGTACACGGATGTCATGGAAACGTTCTTGGAATGAAATGCAGAAGGATTAAGGTTTGTTTGTTTGAATTTTTTCACATGAAGATAATGAGGAAGATAATGAGGGTGACGGTGGTAGCGATGCCATTTATAATAGTTTTGTTAAGGTCAAGTTCTTAAGTTAATTTGGTGGTTGGGTATTTAGATTTGTATTCTAAAGGTCTACGGTTCGAGTCTCATGAAAAACATATTTTTCATCAATAAAACGACGTCGTTTTGAGCTTTTTGAGCATCAAAATGATCGTGTCAAAACGGCGTCGTTTTGACGAGGGTACCATGTCATCGCCGTCACGAAAAAAAATATATCATGTCATCATCCTGTTAATAAATTAACGGCGGAGTAGCAAAATTGCAGTGAAACATAAACGTCTAAAATTGAAATTTCGATGGCATTTTCGAGCCCGAACTTAAATGAGTGGTATTTGACCCAGATTAAAAAAAAACCCATATATTATAGCAAAAGGAATCGAATCTAATTTGAACAGATCAAAACAATCGGAGTAAACATCTAAGCATGAAAACAGTAAATCCAAAAGCAACATCGAAAATTCAGCAAAAAAGAAAATAAATCGGTAAGAATAATTCTCTAATTACAGATCTTAAATATAAACAAGCTAATAAATGTAGATCAAGAAAAAAATTATACAAACCTTGGAGCAAAGGAAAGGCGAGGAGGAGAAGACCAAAGAAGAAAACGCTGAGAATTTTCAAAGCCATTTTCTAGAGATATTTTTCTTTTCTTCTTCTTATTCGTCAAATGAGAGAGAAAAATAAGTAATCGGCGTCGGAAATTATAGCAGCAAAAACGAGAGCTGGCGGGTTTCAATCCAACGGCTAAAATGTACAGAGAGATCATCCGAACGAAGATTTAACGGTGGATCTTTGGTCGACGTGTTTACAGTAGCATACAAAAATACAGAAACCACTTACAGGTTTTGTTCATTTGTCCCAAAGAAATCTAAAACAAAACGGCGCCGTTTACACACTGAAGAACAATCTGGTAATCATAGTTATAATTTTTGTTTGTTAATGTAATAAATTGGTCACATCATTAAAAATTTGGGCGTAATTTTAAAAAATTTAAAATTATAAAAATAAATATTAATTTATAAAATTTGATATAATTTATGAGTTAATTATATTACTTGTCCTCAAAATATGACTATTATTCTAAATTGGACTCTAAATTTTAAAACATTCTAATTTTATCCCTAAACCGACTCATTCTAAATAAATCCTAAAACTTTTAAACATTTTATTTTTATCCGTAAACTATAACCTTCATTCTAACTTGGTCTATAAACATGAACCAAATCAAATTCTATATATACAAAAATACTATGTTAACACTGATTATAATAATTCGTAAACTTGAATCAAGTCAAAACTCCATCTATACAATTAAAAAAAATAAAATTAATGTAAAAACATTACACATTTTAAAAGATAATAATATATTATTTTGATATTTATCCTTAAAATTAAGTTAACTTAAATAACTAAAGAGTGATTACTGGTGTCACATGACATGCGTATATAATTAAGGCCTTAAGCGTAACGTACGTACATTAGAGGTCTTGAACTATGTTTGAATAATTATTTTGGACACTAAAATTTTAAAAGTTATTAAATGATCATAAATTTTATTGAATGGTTATAAAATATTTATTAAATTTATTAAAATATTATAAAATAATCATTAAATTTTATAAAGTTATTATAAATTATTAATTTTTATAATATTAACAATTATTTTATAACAGTATGGTAAAATTAATAACAATTTTTTAATTTTTAAAAATTTTGACATTTTGAAGTTGATTTATCCCATTTGACACGGTCTTGATAGTGCCGTAGCCAAGAAACTCCCCCGTCTAATCGAGGGATAAACTATTTAATTAAAATTTGTTAATTATAAAATTTATTTTAATATGATTATATATAATTTAGTCTTGATGTTAAAATTTATTATTGAGTTAACACTTGTATTAATTATTTTAAATTCATTATTAATAATTACTTGATTTAGTAGGGTGAGACACTAGAACCTTTCTAATACCAAGAATTCAAATTTTGGTATTGTGAATGTAATAAATTGGACTCATACAGTTGCTCCCGTAATGGACCTCTAACTGGGATCGAGATTAAATTTTAAACTTTTAGTAGTATCGAAAAGTAGTTTTACCATTTTATTAACTACAAAAATTTACAAGTTTTGGGACTAAAAGAAAAGTTTCCAAACTAAAGGGTGTCAAAGAGAAATTCACTATTTTATTTGCTAAAGTTTTATTAACTTGGAGATTGAAAGAATAATTTTACCAAATCAAGAATGATCAAATTATATTACTCATTAAAAAAAACCTTATATTACTCGAATCTTACTTATGATAGAAAAATATTAAATGATTAAATATCAATTAAATATTTTAATATAATATATCGATAATCATATTAATCAAATTAAATTCCAATCATACAAATCAATAAAATAAGGAAAATTGAAGACTTTTGACATCAAAGCTAACGGGGAACTGACAGTCAAAAGACTTGACTTTCATGCATTTATTTGAGTTCGCTACTTTTGTTGAATCTTCACATCTTTTGTTCCATCGATATTAGACTTTGAAAAGTAATGGAGTCTTTGTTTCCAACTTATATTTCACATCCCTAGCATTGAGAAAAACAAGCTAAAATCCTCCAACACAATGGCGTTTCCTCTTCTTCTTCTTCTACTTCTTCTGAGTTTCGTGTTCAAAGCTGCAAATGTTCAACCAAGAAGCTCCACCATCGAACCAGGCTCTTCTCTTTCACCCAATAACAATTCATATTTGTTATCGGAGTCCGGTGAGTTCGCCTTTGGTTTCTATCGATACGAAAATGGCTACTCCGTCGGCATCTGGTTCGAAAACATCCCGCAGAAAACAGTCGTATGGACGGCTAACCGGGATGACCCGCCGTTCACCGTTGATTCCACATTGCTTTTCACTGAAGGCAGGCTTATCGTGCGACAGAAGCAAGGCCAAAAGGTACTAATTGATGGTGTTGCTAATGCTACCTCGGCCTCGGTGCTCGACTCGGGTAACTTTGTTCTATATTCGAGTTCGGCAACCATATGGCAGAGTTTCGGTTATCCAACAGACACCATTTTGCCCGGTCAGCGTCTGGTGGTGGAAGGTAAACTGGTTTCCGATGTCTCCGACACGAATCATACTAGTGGGAAATTTCTAATCCTTATGCAAGGAGATGGAAACCTGGTGCAGTACCCTGTCGGAGCAGTCGAATCCGGATTCGGTTACTGGAATTCCGAAACATACACGGCTGGAAATGGTGTGAGTCTTAATCTTGAAAGTGATGGTCTCTTGTATCTGCAAAATGCCTCTGGATTCAACATAAAAAGTATTAACAAGGTTAATGCCTTGGGCAAGCCCATCTATCGTGCAACGATCGATACGGACGGTATATTTCGATTGTATTCGCGTAGTTCCAACAGATCGGGTGACTGGATCACTGAATGGTCATCCCTGGATAATAAATGTGATCCTGTGGGGTTGTGTGGTGAGAATAGTTACTGTGTTTTGATGGAAGGGGAACCTGTATGTCAATGTCCTCCTCGTTTCAATTACATCGACGAGGAACAGAAGGGCTTGGGATGCCGGAAGAATTACAGTTTAGATGCTTGTATGAGAAAGAACGACCAAACGTTAGATTTCTTCGAACTGACCGGATCATCTTGGAAAGCTAGCGATGCATATCTCAATTTCACATCGAGAACCAAAAACAATTGCAGAATGGAATGTTTGCGAAACTGTGATTGTGATGCTGCCTTGTACAACAATCAATCGTGTAAAATGTTGAAGTTGCCATTAAGATTTGGAAGGAAAGAAACAAGTGGTGATACTATAACATTACTAAAGATTGGTGGTGAGTTTGCTGGTCCTGGGACAGGGAAACGAAAGCGTCCCAGGAAACGCAAGCTGCGAATGGACATCTTGATCACTAGTCTCGTCTCGACTTGCTCAATGCTTGCATTAATCGTTGTAGCAGCAATAGGTTTTCTTAAATATCGGTCACGTGTCCGAGAATACGAGCAAATTCTGCAAACGGTAAACAATCGAGTTGCCGAAGATGTTGCCTTGAAATCATTTACCTTTGAGGAGCTCAAGGATGCAACCAACAATTTTGTCGATGAGATTGGTAAAGGAGCTTATGGGACAGTTTTCAGAGGGGTGATATCCAATGGTAACGGTGAAAGAACAGTAGCCATCAAGAGACTCGAAAAAGTAGTAACCGAAGGAGAAAGAGATTTCAAGAACGAAATGAGAGCAATCGGGATAACCCATCACAAGAACTTGGTTCGATTGCTCGGTTACTGCTACGATGGTACCAACAGGCTTCTGGTTTATGAGTACATGAAAAATGGATCACTCGCGGACTTCTTTTTCATATCAAAATTGAAGATAAATTGGGAAGGAAGAGTCGAAATAGTATTGAACATCGCGAGAGGGCTTTGTTACTTGCACGAAGAATGCGAAACACAGATCATCCATTGTGATATCAAACCCGAAAACATCCTAATGGACGACAAAGGGAATGCGAAAATTGCAGATTTCGGATTAGCCAAGCTACTAATGCCCAATCAATCCAAGACATACACCGGAATCAGAGGAACTAGGGGGTACGTTGCCCCAGAGTGGCATCAGAACTTGGCGATAACCGTGAAAGCAGATGTTTATAGCTTCGGGATAATGCTGTTCGAGATTGTTTGTTGTAGGAGGAGCGTAGAGGCTGATGTTCCAGAGAATGAACAAGTTCTTACACATTGGGTGTATGATTGTTTCAAGGCAAACGAAGTGGAGAAGCTGGTGCGAAACGAAGAAGTCCCGAAGAGTAAATTCGAAAGGATTGTTAAAGTCGGATTGTGGTGCACCCAATATGAAGCGTCGTCTCGACCGTCGATGAAAAAGGTTACACTGATGCTGGAAGGGACAGTTAATATACCTGACCCTCCTCTTCTTAGCTCCTGTGTTAATTCTCCATAGCCCACGCCTCCCTTGCAAGTTGCTTGTGTTGCAAGTAGTCACCATTATTTATTAAAATAATAAATTTAATGATCGAGTCTTAATTTAATTAATATTATTATTTTAATATCTTATTAGACATGAATTCGAATACATTTAGATACCTCAATATTTTCAAATTTTGAGTGTATAAATAAATAAATAATACACGTGTATGGTCCACAGTTTCTCACCGCAGATTTAGGGAGATTCAGTCCACATTTTTCTTCCCTTGTTTCGAACCACGTGGCAACAAGAGATTGGATTGTCCATTGTACCGACCACTTTCAACGACATCGTTCTGTTCTTTAACAACCAAAATGTGTATGCACCCGATTCGTTCAAGGCAGGGACAATTACGGTCCGTGTGACAGCGATGATTTTCTAAGTTCAGATGAATGCTAATTGCTAACCCCAGCGGCCAGCGCCCCTAAGTCGTGGGACGACACATTCCTCTTTTATACTTTACAATTTCATTAAATAGAAAGGGTAAATTACACATTTCAAATCACTCAACTTTGCTGTTATTTTTATTTTGGTCATTGAAATTTAAAAGTTTTTAATTTGTTCACTAAATTTTAGGCATTAGATTTTCTACCACCCATTTGTTTCCTTAACAATTTTCGAGTGACATAGCTTATTTAATATTTTTTAAAGTTATATAGACATCAACTCAGACTTCTATCATTGTTTGTAACGATTACTCATCACGTTGTGGTAGTTATTAAATTTAAAATTTTCAAGTCATCCTATTTTGACCCCTAAGTTCGAATCCCCTTCCGCTTCATCTGAATTTCACCGAATCAGCAATTATATTTTTCTGTTCACGACTCACTTCATCAGCACCTTTAATATCAACAACCATTATCTCTACCAAAACACCAACCACTCAACATCACTTAGGTCCATTAAATTCACCACTAAACAAGCAATCAAACCAGCTGCCCACTACCCAAATCATTTCAATACTAGATCGATCATCAATCATTACCTGAAAAAATTCTAAACCCTAACATAATATCACCCAATTTGACACTTTGTGCCCCAACCAAATCAAAATCCCGGTATGAAAAAGAAAAGCTAAGAAACATCATGAAAAAAAACGAACGAGAAAGAATAATTTTTTTAAGTTTTCCTATTTTATGATTAAGGAACAGTTTTTCTTACCTCAATGGTAAAAGATCTCATTCAATGAGAAGAACAATATATTTCGTGTACACCATAATCTGACGATCGAAATAATAGATCATACTAAAATAATGACGAAGCTTTAAATGAGATTCGGTAACTTTTAAAAGTTTTTCGTTGAAATCTAATTTATAAGAAAGAAAAAAGATGTCAAGAGCATGTTCATGATGTTAGATTCGTGAAATCTAAGTCGTTTGTGATAAAATAGACATTAAATTCACATTTAAGAGGGTGAAACGAGTTTAGTAGTTAATTTGGGGACTCGTCAACTACTATTGTTGATAATAGATGGTGATCGCTCATGACAAGCGATGACATAAATCTAAGTGGAGCGGAAAGAAAAAGAAAAAGGGAGGAAAAATAGACAAATTAGATTTTACATGGATAAAAAATTATCTTGTTTTAGTGTAAATTTAGTCATAAAAAGTTCAGTGGTAAAATTTGTAATTTATGCTAAGTAGACGAGTGACTTTGAAAGAAGTGTTGAAAGCCGGAAGAGGATTACGGTTCCCAAAACCGCGCGAATGCACCACATCTTGAGTCCTCGACAGCCCTGACATCAAAACAAAACATAGAATCCCAAGCAAACAGTAAAGTCCACATCTTTAAAAGGTTCCTCACTTCAGTTTACCCAGCGACAGCCACATACCTGTAAAGCCTCAGCCTCAGCCTCAGCCACAACACAAAACACCCTCAGTTCATTAACCATGGCAGTGATATCTACGTGTTGCCCACAGTTCAATGGACTTCGCCGATCATCTCCCAATCTCCCCAACAACAACTAACTACAATCTCAATCTTTCCTTCAACACATCAACTCTCACCTCCGTCTTTCTTCTTCTCGTAGGCCTTGCAGAGGAGCTGTTACTGCCATGGCCGGCTCTGGAAAGGTACCCTTCATTTTGTGTTTTTCTTTTTTAAGATCATTTGTTGATGTATTTAAGAAATTAGAAATGACCCATCAAGGGACCAATTTGTTAGTTTCGATATCGAATTTAGAGAATACTTGACTGAATCGTTTGAGTAGTGTATAAGCCTTAAGCAAGATGGATTTCTCTATAATATCTTGCTGATTTTGTATGGTTAAGTTTTTTTTTTTGGTAAAGTGCTGACCTTGGTATTTTTTTCATTTGAACTTTGCAGTTCTTTGTTGGGGGTAACTGGAAATGTGTAAGTACCCTTTCTCCTAGAAATTGTGTTGGTCTTTCTTCTTTATATTTGATCTTGCTTTTCTTCTAATGTTAGTTCTTTTGTGCTAAATTTGGTGCACTCATTGAGTCCTGTTGGCTTCTCTGGTTATATGTTGTCGAACCAATTGCTCTGGAGTGCTTATTTCCTTTTAGGTCTTTGTTTGGAGTTTTTGATGTTATTTGATATAGAATCTTCTCTCTAAGCTTGTCTAAACGATATGGTTGACATTAGTTTCGACTATTGCAATTACAATAAAGTGATGCTGATTTATTCTCTTTACCTCTCTTCCATTTTCTTTATTATTTTCATTATTATAGAATCTCCTTTTATAGTTCGTTTTGTGCCTTTCCCTTTGATTTATGCCTTTCAAAGGTTTTCGGGCCCTTCCTTGTTCGTACTTCAGATTCTTCAAGTTTGTCACACCTTACTAACACCTTTTGTGAAAGTATTATTGCATTTTCCGGTCACTATGAACTTCACACTCCATTTGCAATGTTCGGGTTTATTAATATGGAAAAACTCATGCAAGGCAATTTTGATCATTCTCTAGTTTGATTTCCTTCACTGATAAAGTTATTTTCTTGTTCGTTCAGAATGGAACGAAAGACTCCATCACGAAGCTTGTTTCTGACTTGAACAGCGCAAAGTTGGAGACCGATGTTGGTAATTGACTTCCTTTTATCTTGTGATTTGTGTATTGTAAATCTATTATGGAACATGGTTTGGGTTTATATCCCGCCAATGGCTAAAAGATTTGCAAAGTTCTTGTGAGACTTCTATTGATACTATCGATTTTCATATGCGTACCTTAATAAATGCTACTTTTTTTGTTTCTTAATTCTTTAGAGGTGCTGTGTCGTTTTGTATTTATCTGGTTCATCAGTACCATGTTAGATGTTATGGATATTTCTGATAATTCATTATGGTTTGACAGATGTTGTTGTAGCACCTCCCTTTGTCTATCTCGATAAGGTGAAGGCCTTGTTAACCGATCGAATTGAGGTATCTGCTCAGAACTCTTGGATTGGAAAATTTGGGGCTTTCACGGGAGAAATCAGGTTAGCAAACATTTGCTTGATGAACAGAACACATTAATTCTTCATTGTTTCATACCCTTTGTTATATCGACATTGGCTTTTTACCCCAAATCCTTGGATTATAAAAACACATCATTGTTGAAATTATATGTGGAATTGCAATGGACTGATTTTTTAAGTCGGTCCTAATTTTCAGGCACATGTGTTATTTCATTTGATCTGTTTCTCAAACATAGTGGAAGCTAATTCGTGTTTGTTTGTAGTTACAGACATCTTTTACTGCACATGCCACATTGTTTGATCGAATTAATTGAAATCTATCTATGTCTTTTATATGATTTGTCCAATTATTTCTGTAGTGTGGAACAACAGAAAGATATTGGCTGCAAGTGGGTCATTCTCGGGCATTCCGAACGCAGGCATATTATCGGTGAAGATGATCAGGTAAAATTTTAGGCACTTAATGTTCTTTTGACATGTTAAAGAGATGCAAAATGTTAAAAGACATAGGACTTATCATCGAAGATTTGTTGTTGTTGTCTTCAGTTTATAGGAAAGAAGGCTGCTTATGCTTTGAACGAGGGTCTCGGAGTAATAGCTTGTATCGGTGAATTACTAGAAGAAAGAGAAGCAGGCAAAACCTTTGATGTATGTTTCCAGCAACTGAAGGCTTTTGCCGGTAATCTTTTGCGGGCCTCTTTGTGATTTTGTTACTTTCTTCCTCATGAATTACCGACTTAGGTTATCTCGTCAAGAATGAAGAGGAAAAGATCATGGCCTAACTTTAACGGACCCATCGTTCACAGATGTTGTTCCCAGTTGGGACAATATAGTTATTGCTTATGAGCCCGTATGGGCCATCGGAACTGGTAAAGTGGCTACACCCCAGCAAGCTCAGGAAGTACATGCAGCTGTCCGTGACTGGCTTAAAAAGAATGTTTCCGAGGAAGTTGCATCTAAAACACGTATCATATATGGAGGTAACTTGGATACCATATCATTCTTAAATGTTGTTACTGTGTTTTCTTTAAATACTACGACATTTCCTCGCTGGTAGTAATTTGTGTGAACATTTGTGTATGTTATGTTTGCGGTTTATGATATGTGAGAGACCTTATAGTATCGTGTATTTACTTAGGAGCATTGTTATTATAGTATCCGTGATCTTGGGAAGGGGACAGTTGTATTATTATTATGCCAATTTTATAAGTTGCTTCGGTCAAATCCGAGTCAGGTCTATTAGAGTATAGGTGCCATGAAAGACATGAAAGTTTGTGGGAACATCCTATTATTCTAGATTGAATGGTGATTGTTCGTCCTTCCTTACAAGCTAACTATATCTCTTTTGCAGGGTCTGTTAACGGAAGCAACTGTGCTGAGCTCGCAAAGCAGGAAGATATCGACGGGTTCCTTGTTGGCGGTGCTTCCTTGAAGGTATATCTACACTATTCATGCTGTTTCAGAATGTTGTTAATAAAACGTGACCTTGCTCTGCTTAGAAGGGAACTTATGGTTCTGAAATATAATTCGGTTATAGCATTGCTGACGATAAGATTCCAATCTTTTGCTATGCAGGGACCCGAGTTTGCAACAATTGTTAACTCCGTAGCGTCGAAAAAGGTGTCAGCTTAAACATATATAAAGCTGATTCAAGTAAGAAATAAAGGACAGTAAAGAAGCTATTTCTGGTTGAAGTTTCATGTGACATATTTAGTGTTATCCAACTGAGTTTTGATTACTTATTGAGTACCCGTTTTTCCTGGATTCTTGTGTGAATTAAGTTAAAATTTCTCGAAAGGATTGATCGATAAGTAAGATGAATGATGGCATCTTCTTTGTATGGAATTGCAACAGCAGACTGATTATCACATTTAATCTCTGTTGCTTCCTCTTGGACAAGATTCAAATCTTAACTAAATAGCTTGGTTTACAGCAGCAGTAGCAACAACAATGTATTCTGCTTCTGATGTGGACTGAGCAATTGTGTCTTGTTTTTTTGAACCCCATGCCAAAAAAAAAAAAAGAACCAGGTCCAAGAGTGAACAAATATCCTGATGTACTGTTCATATCATCAACGAAACCGTACCTGTCACTATCTGTAAAACCGTCTTTGATGCCTTGTAGTGATTAGTGCCGCAGCAATGCATGAACATTTATAACAAACTGTCCGCAAACATAATATCAGGCTTTGCTGAACTTTCCCGAGTCATCTTCTTTGCCAACGTTTTCACCTTGAGCCATAGCCATTTACAATATTTGCTAACCTTTTCACCTTTGTTCTAGTTCTTTCGAGAGAAGTCTGTGAAGTACCGTTTGTCAAGAGTCTGTATACCCTTTCAACAGGTTCAGTGTCATCTCTGGTGAGGTTTAGTCTTACTAACTTCCCTCACCGAAAAGTTTATGAAATGTTGTCTGCACCCTAGTAGTGTCGTGGGCTCGTGGCGTGGGTAGCGGTCCGGTCCCACTGCATCAAACAATCACATGGCTTTGCTCACTTTGTCTCATCCGTTGATGTCCCAAAACAAGCTCACTCCCAAAAGCAGCATGTTAACCAACATGTTCCACAAAACAGAGGGCCGTACATTGGAAAAAAAACCCTGAGAAAACATGTCTTCTTTGCGGCGGTTTCTAGAACATTACCAGATTCCCTTACAACATTGCCAGAACATTGGACTAGACAGCTTATGCTTAGCCATCGGCTGCTTCAGATTATATATATATATATATATATATATATATATATATATATATATATATATATATATATATATATATATATACAAGCATATATGTATCTGTGGGTCATTGCTATTTTTCTGGATAACATAACATTTCATAGGCACATGCATCGATCAACTGGTTTGCCTTAAATGAACCCATGTTGCTGTGACGAGGGTTAAGATAAATCTATGAAGTATCGTATATAAAAAGTCGTCATGCGAGTTTACAAAATCGGGACATCCGGCATTGACATTAGGCATTGTTACGAGCAGTAATTTTGTCTTCTGGCTTTGTCGAGAACTCGAAGGGTTCACATTCGAAATCACGGAAACTGTGGAGTACAGTGTGCATGCAAACAGGTATGGGTCGAAGTTTCAAGAACCAGAAGACGCCAAGTTCAAATTCAATTATCAAATCTATATATATATATATATATACACACACACACACACATTTATGTATGAAAACCAGTGGGCGAGCAGCATGAAAATGGTCATTTGAGGGTCCCCTTTAAGACCCAAGTTGTAAATATTATACACCAATGGATTAAATTTGCCTTTACTATATAAACCCCAATGGCAAAGGGACATGAAATATAGCAACAGAATAGAGAAGAAAAAGCTTTGTTGATTTTGTAACCTAGATATATACATCAATGGGGATTCGGTTGCCTGAGGTGATGCTACATGTGAAGCAAGTTATACGGAGCCGGTTGCACTCCAAGCATCGATGTTCGTATCGGACATCGACTCATGACACGGTGGATGTCCCAAAAGGGCATTTCCCGGTTTATGTAGGAGATGAAGAGAAGAACAAGAGATTTGTGGTTCCATTATCTTATTTGAAGCATCCTTTGTTCCAAGCGTTGTTGAACCAAGCTGAGGAAGAGTTCGGGTTTGATTGTCCGGTGAGAGGCCTTATTGTTCCATGTGCTGAAGATGAATTCATCGATGTAACTTCTCGAATAAATTTACGATTGACCAACTACTGGTAAATCAAGTGACAAGAAGTTCGATATCTCTTAACAACATCTATAGTTCAAATTTTACGATGAAAAAAATAATTTCAGAAGAACTTATTCTCGAAATGAGATTTGTCTGGAATCAACTTCAAATTTAGTACAGACTCTAAAAAAATTATAATGCTTGAGCCAATGCTAGTAATTAAAGCTATGTATGTGATGATTTTGATTTGTATTTTGTTTTGGCTTGTAAATTAGAATTTTGGAGGGTCCAAATTCCAAAATTTTGGCTGTATGGTTGGATTTCCTTTAAAATATATCTGTGATATTATTTTATATTCATGTGATCTGCAGCTGCATTTGATTAAATATATATCAAGTAAATATATTTTTTCATACTTAATTTTTTATGCAATAAGATATTTAAATTTTTAATGTTATATTTAGGTATTTATTTTTTTCTTCTAAAGGTGCATTTAAATATCTAAATTTTAATGATGCATTTAAGTATTTCACTTTTTTAATAAATCAATTATGTACCTAAGTTCTTTTTAGGGCAATTAGGTACCCAAGTTTTATTTTTTGATACAATTAAATGTGTAACACTTTTTAATTACATTTGTTCAATTTGATGCGAGAACAAAATATGAAAATCTAAAAAATTAAGACTAAAAATTTAAATTAAAATGCAGGGGCTAAACCAACAATTTGTGCATAATATATAGATTAATAAAAATCTAAGCTTTATAATTCATGAACCATGATAGCAACCTTTCTCCTATTTGTCCTTGGTTTAACCACAAGCATGAAAATCATAACCTTATCCGGAAAGTACATACCTTGCTTTTAAATACATATCTCTCATAGACGTATATCCTTTTCTGTTCAATCTCGTCAACGATGGGTTATTATGCCTATTTCACTTATCGAAGTAATTATCGTAAAATCGAACAATCTTTTAATATCAATTGTCACAAGATAATTATTCTTTTTCTCATAGAAATGTTTTATAGAGTATACAATGTCATCATTTTTAAACTTTAAAACTTCTCTTTTTCTTTCTGATATGAGATTAATATCTCTAACTCTCCAAGACGTGACAATACTAATCACATACATATATAAATATCATGTATGCCATCGGACATAAATTTCAACCATGTACGAAAACTCTTCATTTTCATATAAACTCGTCTTTTTGAGACATTAGTTTTTGTAAATGGAGTTGAGAGATAACCCTTCAAAAGACCATACAAGAAATAAATTATAGACAACGAACACAGATCACAATATATTCAAATTATCGTACATTAATTATATAAATCACCCACTTCTTTTGAGTCAAAGAAACTCAAAATTGTTCATTTTTCTAAAGTGTTTGTGATTCATAATCTCAAAACCTAAATATTAACACCTAAATATCATATGAAACACATACCAACACAAACAAACCCTAATTTTATGATCTCTAGTTGCTCAACTACATAACTAAAAGTCTACTTAGTACACATAATCAAACCCTGATCTCTAGCTGTTTCCAAAAACTTCTCCAAAGATCCTCTTCTTCACACCTCCCCGTGTAGGTTGTTTCATTGGTTGGTTTGCGGTTGGCTTGTGGTTGTTGCTCGTCGGTTGTGGCTTGCGGTTGCTACTTTCGAGATCCTTAGAACTTCCATCATCTCTGCCGCCAACGCCTTGGTCGCCTTGGCTGTTGTTTCCACTCATCCTCTGATTTCTCTAGTTGGTTAGCCAAAATGATAATTCTTTGAAATGAGAGAGTAGGAAAATGCAAAGGCGTAAATAAAGTTGGATTTATGGGGCCTTCAGCCTTCAAGGACAAAGCCACCTGCACATTGGCATGCGCATGCCTTTTGGTGTGGCCCCTCATGTTATTGTTTGTATTGGGACTTATATTTAATACAATGATAACATATTTAATTTGAGTTCAAAATATCTGATCGTCGAATTAGAATTGTTTTAAAACCTTAATTGATCTGATTCAATTGATTCAGTTACTGTCAATTCAACCCGACATAAAAGGTTTAGGTGAAAACACTCCCATGTGTGTCTTCTAACAAGAAGCTCCACGACAATTTATCTCCACCACTCCATTTGCAAACCCTTCTTTTCCTATATGTATACTTCCATCTATATATATACACATATAGTTGCAGGAAATTTCATTATACAAACTAACGTTAGTTTGAGATTTAAAGACACGATCAATTAATTGAATAATTTAATTGTATTTTTTAAATACGGTGATTTAATTATAATTTTTTTTTCATTTAGTTTAACTTAAGGATAAATTACATTATTCCTCATTGAACTATAGTCTCTCTCCTATTTTACTCATTTAACTTTCGAATTACTCATGTTTTGATCACTTTGAATTATTTTATTATTATTTTTGTATGATGTGATATTTTTACTATTATTTAATATAAAATAAATACAGAAGGTCGTCAAACGCTACCACTGACCATCGTTGACAGCCGTAGATGGTGGTCGTTCAGTATGAAATTTCATAGGTCGTTTCATCTCGACACCCTAAGTCTGAATCTGTCCTCCGTTTTTCCAGAACTTGCTCTGAAGACCACGAATTGAGGATCGAAAGTGAGGAAGCAAAAAACTTTTCACTCAAGATTAATGGGTTTTGGGACATTTTCTGGTGAAACAGCCACCAGATTCAGACTAAGGGGATCGAGACGAATCGACCCATGAAATGTGAAACTGAACGACCACCATGTACGACGGTCGACTGTGGCTGACAGTGTTATCCAACCACCTTTTGTTTTTATTTTATATTAAATAATAATAATAAAAAGGCCACATCATACATAAATAATAAAAAACAATTCAGAGTGATCAAAACAGGAGTAATTTGAAAATTCAGTGAGTAAATTAAAAATATTGAAAGTATGATGAATAAAATAGGAGAACAAATATAGATCAGTGAGAAGTTGTGTATTTTACCTTTAATTTAATATTGTTATTATAGGTGTTGTTATTCACTTTTCAATCTAAACGTCATCGTTTTATAGGTAAAGCTCAACAAACAAGCATAAAAACCAGGCAAAGAGCTTGCGTTCAGTTTGGCCACCGCAGAATATTTATTCTGAAATCTCCATCGCTCGTTTTCCAATCACACAAAAAGCAAAGCAAAGACAAAGCCATGGCGCCGCCTCCTGGACCTTACTCCGGCACCAGCACTCTCGCTCTCGTGACTTATTTTACCTTTTCTTTTACTCTTTGCCAATGAATAATTTAGATCAGATTTGATTTGTTCTTAGTTGATGAGGTTTTCTTTTCGTATGTAATAGGTAGCTCGTGCATCTGCTTTCTCTTTTGGACTTGTTTATGGGAGCTTTAAGCTCAAGTACCTCAAGGTACATCCGTTTACTTCTTTTGTTTCTAATTTTTTTTCCTTGTCTCTGTTTGTCGATACTTAAGTATGTTCACGGATTTCATGTTATATTATTGCAATCGGATGTATATCTCGTGGAAATTGGTAATTTTCATAGGACTCTTCGTTCAGGGTGAAATGGATGCTAGGAATGACAATTAGATATCAGATTTTCTTTTTATAGATTCAGATATTGCATATTCGGATTATATTCGAATTCAAATATTTTAATTAGTATGCGATTCAGAGCTGATGCGGATTTGAATCCGTTTCGCTTTCCGTGGATAACAATTTGAATTCATAGATCTTTATCCGCATCTGGTTTGCTTTGTGTATCTAATGCTCAAACCGAGATCTAAGTAAGAGTGTTGGGAACTTGGGATATCAGTTCTTTGTTGATAAACCCTGCTTGAATATATTGTTTCGATAGTATACTGGTATAGCTTCTTGTATTGTGATCTATCTGCATATCTGCAAACATGGCTTGATTGTCATAAATAATTTGAGAGGATTTTGAGACATTGTAGTCTTGTAGATATGCGTGCTTTGAAAGTTTAAACTTACTCAGGAATGTATATAGTGATGATGTGGTTAACTTTTAGCAGCTATTGTTGTTATGATTGCTTCTAACAGTTAAAAAGATTGTTGGGATATCAGTTCTTTGTTGATAAACCCTACATGAATATCTTGTTCCGATAGTCTACTGGTAAAGCTTCCTGTATTGGGATCTATCTGCATATCTGCAAACATGTCTTGATTGTCATAAATAATTGATTTCGAGACATTGTAGATATGCGTGCTTGACTGCTTTGAAAGTTTAAACTCAGGAATGTACATAGTGATGATGTGGTAAACTCTTAGCATCTAATGTTGTTCTGATTGCTTCTAACAGTTAGAAGGATTGTTTGACCACTTGCTTTACATTCAAACCATTTCCATGAATGAATAAGGTGTGTCGTATGGAGCTTCGACGTTTTACTCTAGGATATATGTTCATAGATGTTAGCTTGTACTCCATATCCACTATGTTATCTGGATTCTTCATTTTCTATAAAGTATTGTGTTATTTATGCGATCGACTATATCCGACACCTACATAAGCAGATAAATAAAACAACATAAATACTCCGCCTTTGCGTAGATTTTGCTATTTTCCCAGGAATGTTTAATGTATTGTGTGGATTACTCTTTATATTGATAATAATGTTCTGCCATAGCGTTTAAGGTGAGTCAAGAGAAACATCAAAAACAAATGCCTCACATATTACCATACTTTTATCCTCAGATGAAGGCGAAGTCTCAAAGGAAAGCTGAAGCAAAGGCACACCATTGAAGCAGGGTCGGGTTTTGTTCATAGTCGATCACATGCGTAACATGAGGTTTTTTTCCTTCAATAATGCAGTAGCTATGGGATTGCCCCAATGTTTCATTTCGGCCTGCAGCTTTTAATGGACCGTGGCGAACTGCCAATTTTTTTGTTGTATAGTTATCAACTTGGCTATTTCTAAGTGATAAAATCTGTTCACTTGGTGTTCTTTCTTGAATCATACTATTAAGCAATCAAATCTACAAAATTGTGCATTCCATATCGGCTCTATAAAGCCGGCGTTACCACATAATACCTGAAACGGTGGAAGCAATCTGTGTCGGAGAGCATCAGTACCGGCAAGGGACTGAAGAAACAATGCAAAAGTTACTATGCTCGCCATGGCTTTCATCAGTAAACCCAAAAGCTTCGATGGAAAGACCAAAACTAATGATCCATCCTTTACTCCTAGTTGCTCTATGAAGAGACCAGGAAACAAGGAGAGGACACATAATGCTGGTGGTTGTTCCCATTCTTGCTTTCCTGATTGAAGAGTGTATCCCGGAGTTAGGAAGAAAAGTCGGTCTCAAAGAAATCAGCCGGGCATCGGAACAACCAAAAACCGACATGACCGTAAAATAGAAGGGAGCTAAGTAGTTCCGGTTTTTCCTATTAGTTCAACCAACTTTGATTGGAATGAAGCAGAGGATTCTTATGAGGACTATAACCCGACAGTCGCAGAAACGATGCCATAGTACATGCACGAAGTGGGTACAGACATATCCCCCATGCAACTAAATGAGTATATAAATTTTCTTATTCTTTCTTTTATTTTTCATTAACATATTAAACTAAATTTAATAATTTATCCAAAATAATGAATATACACTTGCTCTCACGCGCTATAAAAAATCATTCCAAATTATAATTATAAGAGGTAAGTTAGTTCAAGATTTTTCATGTTTTAAAAGTGTCAATTATATATATATATATATTTTGTATAAACTACTAAAATGGTGTCATTTCATTTTATAAATGTACGCTTTTGATCACCAAAATTTAAGAGGTAATACTTTGATCATTTGTGTTATTGATTTATAATTTTTAAATCATTGGGATGTTTAAATGTTGTTAGTTTAATAATGTGAGATGTTAGTAAAATGGATTAATTTTTAATTTGATCCTTGAACTTTAAATAAAATATCAATTCAACCCTTGAATCCAATTAAAATCTCTTAACGTCGCTCATCACTATAAATAGTGATCACCGCCTGCATATAAATACACATACATTTTGTTAAGTTAATAAATATAATGCTACATTTCCTCATTCTTCTTCTCTACTGATTCTATACATAAAACTTCCAACCACTACTCATTGTAAACGAATGGTACACTGTGAACAAATTGAATGACTTGACTTCTTCAATCATCGTATTCATATTAATATTTTTCAAGTTTAATCTTATTTAGAAGAGAATTAAAGAGGGACAAGAAACTAATGTGAACATGGTGATTCTAAACCCTCAAAAAGAAACTTTAATATGGGTATTAATTATTCTATCGGCCCCTTCCCCTATGATAGGGGTCTTGGTTATTGTTGTTTTCCAATCTGATTTCTGGGGCACGGTACAGGTTTATGTTATTGGTCGTTTTCATGGTTATCCTTGATTTTGTGCAGTTGCTTATTTGATGTTAGGTATGTTTTCGAGGTAGATCTTTAGACTGATGTTGGCGCATATCCGATATCTGAGTATGTGCGATAGTATGTGATAGTATGTATTTGACTGTGATCCATATTATTCTATTTCACATTGGTTGTGTTGCCTTTCTTCTTGTTTAGAGATCAGCATTTACAACTTCTTGTTTGGAGACTATCTCCTTTGACACGTGCATGCGCGGTTTGCAGTTCTTTATCGGTTCTTGCTAATGGTGACAGTTTCTTTGACACTTTGTTTGCCGTCTATTCACGCCATTATACGAGTTTGATATATCCGTCGTATTACCAATATTGCATATGTCTTAGTATATTACCAATTTAGAAAAAAAATATTAGTTTGGTATATCCGAAGAGTTGTTTTGTTTTTGAGTTACGTGGATTTGAATTCAGTGAATTATGATTCGATCTAATTTAATGCGATTATTTTTTAAAAGAATTTGGATTCGAGCCAAATTGAATAATATTAATTCGAGTTTAAGATGAAAAATTCATGACTTGATCTGAGAAAATAATATAATTATCCTTAATATATTTTAGAGACAATTATAATAATAACCTTTATATATTTTTTAATTAATTTCTATTTTACTTAACAAAAATATATTTTAAAATATTGTAAAATGAATCAACATTCAATATTTGTTATAAATTAATGTGGCACGTCTCACATAGATGATGGGATCATCAAGGGTCAATAATGTGGCACGTACTTATAAATTTTTGGATATAACTTTTAGAAAATGACATCTGATTTAATATTGAGAAAACAATAATGATTAATATGACCGGACGTTAGGTCATTGAATTCATTACCCTCCCTCTTATTTTGCACGTTTTGTAGATTATAAAATTAAGATAAAAATTATAACCATAAATATAAATTAAATACACAATTAAGATACATTTTTATAATTATCGAGATAATTAAATAATCATTAGAGATCAAACAATGATCATACAAGAAAAGTGTTAAAACCCTTTCGATGAAAACTCAAATAGAATATATATACGAACAGATCTGATTACATCAACAAACGAACCACAACATGAAATTAAATTATTGAAAGGTCACCAACAACCACAATCAGAGTTGAGCGTTGTGAGAAAACTATCTCCGAATGTAAATATCATATCCATATCCAATTTGAGGGTCTAAAGCAAAGAAGATCATTATGATAACAAATAAGCGTCATCATGATCAATCGATATATTAAATCCAACTAAGAGAAAATAAAATGAAAAAAAGGTTAAAACGATCGAAAAAAATATGCCAAAAGACGTAAAAAGTACTATGAAGGCATAGGAAAGCGTCTCATAAATATAAAGCTATTGAAAACTAAAAAAAATAAAAGAAAAATAAAAAATGATATAAAAATAAATAAATAAATAAACAACAAATCTAATATAATATTGTCGTCAACCAACCAAGGAAGAGTTTTGGATTAAGGATGTTGAGAAGTTTGTGTGAAGTGGTGGGACGTTGGATGGCTTTAAGAGTGATTTGTCCATTTTCAATAAAATATCAACTCCCAAGTTGATGGAAGAAGATTTGGTCGGCCGCTGGGGCTTTGGGCAAAGTGATTTGCTTGTCCCAATTTTCTCTATTTTCTAAATAATATCCCTTATCAATTCATATCTTACTTTTAAATTCTTTCTTTCAACCTTCCATTGACATTTACTTCATTCATCTTTCTCTAAAAACTACAAAAAGAGAGTGAGTTAAAAGTAAAGTTTCTTTACTCATCCTACGGGCTTCAAGAAAATAAATTTATAAACATGTATTTAAGGGTTTCATGGAGAAGTGATGTATACATCGTTGTAACCGGGAGCCAATATAGTTTTGTTTAAAACAAATAAATATTGATTTCAATATGTATATGAAAAGATATGAATTTTTAGGTGATGAAGGGTCAAAAATCTAAACATAAACCTTATAAAACAGTTTTAGCAGTGACTTTGAAAAACACTAAATATTCTATAGTAAATATTAGGAAGTGAGCCTTCTATACTTATAACTGTACATAAGTCTAGTTTTGTTTAAAACAAACGGTTCTTAATTTAGTTCTATATATTTAGAGTTATAAATTTTTAAGTGAGCAAATGTCAGAAGAGAAGGTAGCATACTATTTTGAAAAACAACAAGGACAGTGAATTCAAAAATTCATCATAAATCGTACGAGTTAAATTATAAACTTTAATTTATATGGTTGAAAATATTAGTGAATCTAATTTCTTATAAAATAAATGGAACATGATTTGGAATTGTAGATCATTAATTATACATTTTCTTTAGAGGTTGTACCCGTTGCCATATTGAATGATTAATATTTTAGTCATGATTTAAGATTTTGTAAAGCTTAAATGATCAAAACATACTCAAGCATAATATACCTTGCAAGTTTGAAATAAGTATAAGATTTTGAAAGTTATTGAGTTATACTTGTGATGAGTTGTTTGATGCTTTGTTTGCGCATAGTCTTTGAGCTCTAACCTGATTAGAGGCCGTGAGTGGTGTTCGGGAAAACAATTCGAAAATCCTAGATTTGTTTGATTAGCAGTCATGAGTGGCGTGAGACTAATACACGGACGGACCTTATAGGTTGCCTGGGGTATCCCAGACAACCCCTCAAAATTGTAACTTAGTGTTAATTTTTTCCCAGGCAACCCCTCAAAATTGTAACTTAGTGTTAATTTTTTCTATTTTTTTAATTAATATAATTGCTACCCCTAATATTACTCCAGGCAACCCCTCAAAATTGTAACTTAGTGTTAATATTTTCTATTTTTTTAATTAATACAATTGCTACCCCTAATATTATGTGTAAATGTTACTCTTTATTATAGGAAAAATTAATATCCTATTTAAAATTTAAAAAAAAAGATCAAGCCCAAAAAATAAACCTTAAGCCCATGAATCAAGCACCTATTTTCAGTTTTGTGGGAATTGGGATACGGCAATTGGCAACAGATTAGAAAGACTATGAAAACTAAAAACCTCGATTGAAGATTAGAAGGGTAAACCGCCGACAAGGGTTGAGGGCTGTGGTCTTGTGGAAACTCAACCCATCTTGGAAAGGCAAGGCTGTAAGGGCTGCCTCACTGCCTTCCTGTGCGATTGAACTTTGAAGGGGAAGCCGATTGAACTTTGAACTTTTGAAGACAGCAAGTTGAACTTTGAACTTTCTACCTTTTTCTCCAAATATACAAATGAGACAAGTATGTGTACTTTCTTTTATCTTAATTTATTCTTTACATTAATGATTTTATTATCTTTCTCACTTTGTCTTCTTTCATTCATATTTAATTTTTTCATGTTTAACAATAAAGGTAGTAAACTGTATATATATTGCTTTGTTATTTGAAATTGATTAATTCATTAAAATTAGGTTTTTTTTGGTTTGATGTATTAAAATTAGGATATTACAGTAAAGTAGTAATTCATAGTTTATAATTATTATATGTTGAATTTTTAATATTTTAATCATTTTATTTATTGAAATATTTAATTGTAGGGTTCTATTGGTAACTATTTTAAAAGGAAATTAGATGTTGGTGATGATGGAAGTAGTGAAGGATCTTCTAAAAGAAATAGCTCAAATGAAGTTCCACAAAGACCACAACCTACCACTGTGTCACCTACTCCCATGGCTTCCATTCCAACAACTATTAATGTGAATGATCTTCTTTCGGATCCGGCGGATAGACTAAAAATTACATCTTATCATCCAAATCAAAAAGATGAAATAAGGACATATTGGATTAAAGGACCATGTCAACCAAGGGGTCATACTTTTCCATCAAAAAAGATAGACCTAAGCTAAGACGCTTTATCGTTGAATGGTTTGATGAATTTGATTGGTTAGAGTATAGCATAAAGGAGGACAAAGCTTATTGTTTATGTTGCTACTTATTTGGAGATATTATAGGACAACAAGGTGGGAGAGATGCATTTGTGACGGAAGGATTTAGCACTTGGAGTAAAAAGAAATCGTTATATGCTCATGTAGGTAATGTTGATAGTTTACACAACAAAGCACGACAAAAGTGTGAAAATCTAGTGAAAAAAAATCAATCTATTAGTGATGCTCTTCATAAGCAAACTGAACATGAGAAGAGTAACTATGAAATTCGATTACGTGCTACAATTGTCACTTGTAGATTTTTGTTGGAAAATAAGTTACCGTTTCGTGGCCATGATGAGTCGGATGACTCCATTTCCAAAGGGCTTTTCATTTAAACATTATCTTTGATTAGAGAACACAATGAGAGTATTTATAATGTTACCTTAGAAAAGGCTCCGAAGAACGATAAATTGACATCTCCAAAGATTCAAAAAGATATTGTTGAATGTTTTTCAAAAGAAATAATAAAGTCCATTTGTGATGAAATTGGAAAGGATGTGTTTGCCATATTAGTTGACGAGTCTAGTGATGTATCTAAAAAGGAGCAAATGGCTATGGTTTTGAGATATGTTGATAGACTTGGAGTTGTTAAGGAGAGATTTATTGGAGTTGTTCACGTGACGGATACATCTTCTTTGACTCTTAAAGCTGCCATTGATTCCGTATTTACTGACAATAAATTAAGCATGGCTCAGGTAATATGTCATATTTATTTGATTTATATTTTAATTATTTAATTGAATCTTTATTTTTATATATTAAATCTTTTATCTATTATTTGAAATAGGTAAGAGGGAAAGGTTATGATGGAGCAAGTAATATGTGTGGTGAGTTTAACGGTTTGAAAGCGTTGATCTTAAGAGATAATAAGTCAGCATATTATGTACATTGTTTTTCTCACCAACTTCAATTAGTGATCGTGGCGGTTGCAAAGAATCATGATGGTGCTCATGAATTCTTTGAGCAAGTAGCTTTGGTGGTTAATGTGGTTTGTGCTTCCTGCAAAAGAAAGGATATCATACGAGAGAGCTACAAAAAGAGATTGCAAACGGAAATTGGTATTGGTGAAACTGAAACTGGAAGAGGGTTGAATCAAGAGCTTTCTCTAATTTGAGCAGGAGATACAAGATGGGGTTCCCATTATAAAACAATCATAAGTTTGATGAATTTGTTTCCTGAAGTTATTGAGGTGCTTAAATATGTTGAAGAGGACGGCTCAACTTTATCTAACCGAAATCAAGCGTACGGTATTTTATCATATTTTAAAACACTTGATTTTGTGTTTTATTTACACTTGATGTTAGAGATTTTAGGTCTCACGGATACCTTGTCAAGACATCTTCAAAGAAAAGATCAAGATATTTTGGAAGCGGCTTCATTGGTAAGAGCAACAAAGAAATCATTGCAAACTTTAAGAAATGACGGGTTTGGTTCAATTTTAAAGAAAGTATATTCTTTTTGTCAAAAAACATAGCATTGAAACTTTGGATATGTCAGAATATTATGTTACTCCAAGAAATCGTAGGACCAAGATTACTAATCAGCATCATTTTGAGGTTGAGATTTTTAACACGGTTTTGGATATGCAAATTCAAGAATTTGGGGATCGATTTAGTGAGGTAAGCACCGAATTGCTAGAAAACATGGCGGCTTTAAGTCCTTCTGATTCAATTTCAAAGTTTGATAAATCAAAAAGTTGTTGAAGTTAAGTGAGATGTACCCAGATGATTTTAGCGATTCAGAAAGGACATATCTTCTTGGTCAACTTGATATCTACTATCACTCTTTGCTACATGATGACAAATTTGCTAACTTGAATGGAATTGTCGACCTTTCTCGCTTGATGGTGGAAACAGGGAAACATCGTTCTTTTCCTTTGGTCTATAGGTTATTAAAGTTAGTTTTGGTTCTGCCGGTTGCAACTGCAACGGTTGAAAGATGTTTTTCTGCAATGAAGCTTTTAAAGACAGACTTGCGCAACAAAATGAGTGACGATTTTATGAATCATGCCCTGATTTGCGCAATAGAAAAAGAAGCACTTTTAGATGTTAAGATTGAAAGTGTAATCAATCGCTTTCAAAAAATGAAAACACGAAAAGGTCAACTTTAGAATGTAATTTCTGGACATTTTATTATATTTATAGATATCGTAGTTTTTTAAAAAAAATTATAAGAGTTTTTGTGCAACCCCTGAACTTTTATCCTGGGTCCGCCACTGGACTAATAAATACCTGATTATTTGAGCACATGTGCATCCTAATAAGTTTGACAAGTTTGACCGATTTAACAAGTTTGACCGATTTAACAAGTTTGATATGCAAGTGATATGTTTATAAAATTTTGGTGACATGTGACTTATTTGTCCGTTATTCATGTCATGTTTCTATGTAATACATTTGATTTGCATGCTCGTATTTATGAATTTTTTGAAGTATGGTAGATTAGTTGTATACCACAAAGCTTGTAAAGCTCAACTTTTGAATTATTTCTCTTTTCATATTAGTATACTTTTGTTCATATCTGAGGAGTACCATCAACAAGGGACTTCCGGCACCACGTATTCAAAGTACAATATATTATCTGTTAGTGGATATTATATTCACATGGTCTTACTTGTATTTTGAAGTCTGAAACTCATTAATTATTTTGGGATATATGACTATTTTGATATATATATTTATGTCGACGGAGCTCCACATGTTTTTTTAACTACTTTTAATACTATTTTAATACAACAATTTGATGATATTTCTCTTATATAAAAAATTTAATGTTTTAAAATATTAGAAAATTTGTTGGGTTTCTCCGGATGATCTGAATATTGCATCTTGATCTTCGGGCATTTTGTATTCGAGATTAAAGTGTTACTTACAAGGCATTTCCCCTCCCACCTACAAAGTGCCTCTATTCCAGTATAATATTATATTAGAAAACTATTTGGATCAATATTATAATGCCTCGAATTCTCGCCAAAATGATCATTTTACGTCTACTAATATGGACAAATGTCTCCCAATTCCATTATATTGTCGCTTCCTTGACTTTATCAATATTCTCCTGTACTGGCAAATCATTCCCCACACATTTTGGAGTAAAGTTGAAAATTCCGGGTGATCCTGTCATGCAGTAAGGAGTCGAAAAGGTCAAATGCCCTTACTGATCTTATGTATAGAAGTCTCCAAAAGTAGCAATCGATGATATGAGCCCAACTTTTCAAGGTGATATACAAAGGAATTTGGGTGAGTTGATAGCCATTCGCCATTACAAAGGCAACGGTCAAGCCTCTGGAAGAGCGAGCAAACCCATAAAACATTTGATAAAGGCATCTACTTTGGCTCCGCTTATCCTTGTTTCAACAAGCGCTACCGCGTCCGGCTTATTCGTTTTCACCAATCACTTAAAATAACGTTTGAAAGCAGGGCTAAGTACACCCTGAGTATTCCAAAACAGCATTTTAACCATGATAAAGGAAGAATAGTAATAGGAAGATAAGCTAAATCTGCTTATTGGCATTGCTACTCTCAACAAACTTCTTGTTCGCCCGCCATTTAACTTGCTTGTCAACCTACGTACCGGCCATTTGGACTTCCATATTTTGTTCTTGTTGAGAAGAAAGGACTCCTTCCAACTCTTTAGTCATTTCCGGGATCCACTCACTGAGCATCGGACGATTTAGTATCTAGTTTCCGTCGGGTTTTAAGTTCTTCTTTGATAGCCCCTTCATTACTGCTAAATTCCGTGAACCAGAAAGCCACGATAATCCCAAAGCAATCTTCATTTTAGCTATCGGTTGGGGTTATACTAATAAACGACGATGAGGGTCGATCATCACCAATTCTAACTCCCATGTAATTCCCCTTTCCTACTGCATTTTTAACAATCTGATAATTGCTTCCATGGACTGCCCCCAAATTTCCTGAGCTGCTCGCCACCTTCGTTCCACGTTCAGCCCCATGCACAGCTTTATTTGTGCCTCATATTACTTCCCCATGCAAGACTTTACGTGCAATCTTTTGTTGCTTTTCATTAGCAGCTTCCACGTGGTCACATGGTGGTGTAGGTGCCATAAGCCCTCCTTTCCTTTTTGCCTTTTATTCTCCATGATCTCATGCAAATTGTCTTTAAAAGCTGTCTTTGCTAT